TAGTCATCGGAACAATTTCCTGCAAAAATTCATGGCTTTCCTAACCCAGCAAGAAATTGGCAACCCGTCTTTTAATTTGTAATACTGCATTACAATGACTTCTACAATTTTGTCAGTCATACACAAGCAGCAGCACGAAGGGCGACACCACAGTACTTCATGTGCAAGGGAAGAAACAGACAAAAAATGTTAGTGTTCATAAAATCCCATAATTCTCAGACCAGATAACACTTTCGTTGACTGGCTGCATATGTAAACGAACAGCCAGTCTGAGCACACCTTTGTTATACGCACAACAAATTAGTACGTGACACTAACCTGCCACTTTGTTCAGTAGACTTTAGCTAGCATGCATGACCAACGGCAAGAAAGAAAACATCTGCAGAAACAATATATGATAAATATGCATACAAAGCTGCGACAGTAAGCAAAATTGAAAGCCAGAACATGCATCACACCAGCACATATAAAACAACCTGATTAACTAAATTGGCTAGATAAGGCAAAATGTCATTACCAGACTGAGATCCGGAGCAACAAAAAATCCACACAGGACTGCAGAGACAGCTGTAGAAGCCAGGCCTCTCCCAAAAATACCACAAGAAAAAAAGGCTTCTTTTGGTATCAGCGAGTTCAACAGCAGCAGAGTAACTGAATGCCTACCAGAGGGAGCAACACCTTAATAACCAGTCCCAAAGACATGGTCCTCCCTCCTTGGCATTCAGTGAGCTCCAGGCGATCTACAGACTGACAATCTTTTGAGTGACCTTACCTCAGGCGTAGGACATGCCTCGCTTACAAGGACTTAATACACCGATGGCAACTGCCACCACAGCTTACAGAAGTAGTAATAAGAACAAAGTATATACTTATTTCTTGATTTTCTAATGCTATTTATCAAGCGGAAACAAAAACAAAAGGATGGCCTAGGTGGTGGTGCTGTCCATGTCATACAGACAACCAGCAAACACTGCGAAAATGGCAAAACTAAACACCGCCATTCCTCTACACAGAAGGCTCTACCAATACTACTGTGGTAGATGTCACTTAAAAATTAAGTGTGAATTTAAAACTTAAAAGAATCTGACAATTTTCATCATACACAAATACATTTCAAATGCAGTTAAAAAAATAAATCTGCAAACATCGTAACAATTGATTGACACTTCTAACATTGCAGCTGGAAAGGATCTTCTAGATAGTGAGCGTACCTGACTTTAAACCTCAAGAAAAGAAATCGCAAAGTTGATGGCATCTAAATTGCAACCAGCCTTTAATTAGTACATTAATGAACACTTCCACCTTATAAACGATAAGTAAAGTACCACAGAACTTTGCTAATTTTCCCATCAATTATCTACAAACCAAAGCCTTATGATCAAGAAACCACAGTGGCCTCTTCAAACTTCCCAGCAAGAGATTTATTAACAGCACACAGTAGCGAGACGTCCTATTACCAAGACATTTACCACATATTGTACAAGCCACTTACTATAATATTATGAAGTCATTAATAACACCTGCACACAAAGAAGAGAGCGTGTTTGTTTAGTTTCTAAATAAAAAAAAAAATTAACAAACTAGAGAGATGGGATGAAACCATTTCATTAGCAGATAAAATTAGAAAATGTTTTATCAGCAAAATGCAAAGGCCTGCACGCCCAAAAATTTCTCTTGTCATCAAAAAGAGCTAAACAGTTCACGTAGTTCACCAGAAAAAAAGTTAACATATGGCAAAAGCTGAATTCTTCTTCTATTTCTGTTCTATCTATTAGCCTCTCAGACAGTTCTGGAAATGAAATAAACCAGCTTCATCAGTGGGTATTTTTGAAATTAATTCTTGTCTTTTTAAACACATAAAAATATCTGCAGAGATACTCAAAGCAAGAGCCATGCATTGGATCTTTCAGATATCTTCCAAAACACAGTCCATGCTCATCAAGATGGTCATTTCTTTTCACCCGGGATCCTCTATTCTGTGCCTAGGAAAAGGCTGTGTTGTCATCCTTATTAAAACCTATGTCTTGCATTGTTTCATTTTGAAAAAGGTAAATTAAGGGGAAAGACCCCTAGAGAAAAAAAAAAAAAAAAGAAAAAAAACAATTATGTAAAGTTTAGTCATATTTGGACCCTGTAAACTAACATAAATAATTTGCAGGCATGTGCTGACGTCCACACAGATCTTCAGCAAAATGCATGTTTCCTATATGCAAATTCCACATACTGCAAATTCCAATCTGAATGTTGTATATACTCATCTTTCCTCCTCCTCTTCCTCCTCTAGCTGGAAGTACCACCTTTCCTTGTCATGGCAAGTATTTTGTCAAGATATACCTACAGGATGCGCACATGTGTACATACACACGCACCTACACAGCATCAAGAGGTCAGAGACAAGTCTGTTGTGACTGCAGATGGTCAAGAACTCCAGAGAAAGAAATAATGTCTCATAAGTTTAGTTCTGGGTATTTAACATCAACAGTTTTCAAAGAAAAGTCCTAGCTACGTGGTAGCTTCTAGATGTGCCAGCCAAGAATGTTACAAAAGATCATGCTGGAGTTCCTGGTTTGTACTAACTGATCTCAGTCCACCAGGAGACCTTTCTGCACCCAGCAGATTAATCTACCTTCTAGTTCATCCAGCTGGAGCAGACAGTTGGGTCCATTTAGCTCAGCTTGGTCATCTCCCACTTCAGGTGAATCAATCCTGCAGCATATAATCATAGAATCATAGAATGGTTTGGTTGGAAGGGACCTTAAAGATCATCTCGTTCCAACCCCCTGCCATGGCAGCAACACCTTCCACCAGACCAGGTTGCTCAAAGTCCCATCCAGCCTGGCCTTGAACACTTCCAGGGATGGGGCATCCACAGCTTCTCCAGGCAACCTGTTCCAGTGCCTCACCACCCTCACCGTGAAGAATGTCTTCCTTATACCTAATCTAAATCTTCTCTCTTCTAGTTTAAAGCCATTGTCCCTTGTTCTGTCACCTCATGCCCTTGTAAAAAGTCCCTCTCCAGCTTTCCTGTAGACCCCTTTAGGTACTGGAAGACTGCTCTAAGGTCTCCCCGCAGCCTTCTCTTCTCCAGGTTGAACAACCCCAACTCTCTCAGCCTGTCACCATAGCAGAGGTGCTCCAGGCCTCTGATCATCTTCGTGGCCTCCTCTGGACTCACTCCAACAGGTCCATGTCCTTCTTGTGTTGGGGGGGCCGCAGAGCTGAAGGCAGTACTGCAGCAGGGGGTCTCAACAGAGAGGAGCAGAGGGTAGAATCCCCTCCCTTGACCTGCTGGTCACACTGCTTTTAACGCAGCCCAGGATACGGCTGGCTTTCTGGGCTGCATGTGCTCATTGCTGGTTCTTGTTGAGCTTCTCATCAACCAGCACCCCCAAGTCCTTCTCCTCAAGGCTACTCAATCCATTCTCTGCCCAGTCTGTATTTGTGCTCAGGATTGCCCCGACCCATGTGCAGGACCTTGCACTTGGCCTTGTTTACTTCAAGAGGTTCACACAGACCCACCTCTCAAGGCTGTCAAGGTCCCTCTGGATGGCATCCCTTCCCTCCAGCGTGTCAACCGCACCAAACAGCTTGGTATCGTCAGCAAACTTGCTGAGGGTGCGCTCAATCCCACCGTCCATGTTGCCAACAAAAACGTTAAACATCACCTGTCCAAATACCGACCCCTGAGGAACACCACTCATCACCAGTCTCCAGTTAGACATTGAGCTGTTGACCACAAATCTTTGAGACAAAACCAGCTGTGCACCTCACAAGACCCCTAAACAGGCTGCTTTTTTTTTGATTGCACCAGAAAGTAGCATCATTTTTGTCATGAATACAGTACCACGCCTGGCCTCAGCAGGACGCTGGACACAAGACCAACAGCATTATACCTGGCCATAAAACACATTACTGCTATTGCACTTTGCACAGGTTGGGTCTGCAGCAGGTCCCCTCCATGGCTGTTCGTCGCCGGCAGCTGCTATCAGAAGGTGTCACACCCTCCATACAGGTAGTGGAGAAATGGACACTCAATGGGCAAAGGTAGAAGGAGAAAAGGTATCATTTTTCTGCTCCTCCTGCTATTCACCTTCACCTACAGCTTTTCCAATCCAAATCAACTCTCCAAATCAACCCTTGCTTCCTTTCCTTCTTGCCTGCCTGCTGCTGGACACCCCAGCTCCCTGCTCTGCAAAGGGAACTCCAGACTCCAGCAGGTCTCACATCATGTCAGAAACACCCGGCCTCTGCCTCTCATACACAGAGGAGGAAAATTCTCTTCAACGAGTGGATGAAACCTTTCACCAGCCGTCCCAGGACCATATACAGGCAGCAAAGTTGTATACAACAAAAGTAAGGGGATGGCCTTACTGTTATATCATTCTTCCACTATCTCCAGATCCATACAAGCTAACTGAAAACAATATGCTGTAAAATCCTACAGACCTAAGCTTATTATGACTCTTTTGCATAGCCTTTTCAAGTGAACCCAGTAGAGTTCTATCTGTGTGAAGAACAGAGCTATTGCTAATTTGTCTCTATTAGTAGGCAGTTCTGAATTTTCTTCCTACGGTCCTAACACTAGAGTCACTAGAGTCTGTATTTTTGAAGGAAAATAAAGACTTTATTAACCATAAATACCTGAAAAAAAATTCACGGAGGTAAAATTTTGTGTCTATTGAGCTTGGCAGCACTACTACTTAGACAAAAGTACATACATTTTATATAATTCTTGTGTGTTATCTATAATCAGTGTTCTGTTCTCCTGCACTTGAATAATGGTAAATTCTTAAAGGACCAAGGGAAAAAAAAAAGCTTTAAGTGAAGTTCCCCAAATTATTCCATGCAGGGTGAAAGACCACTGAGTAGTTAATAACTCCATTGAAACCTCTTCCTTTAGCAGCATCGTTTTCATCCTGATAGGTATCTTGTAAAAAAGCATGCTTATTTTTGCTGTCTCACAAAAATTTAGCAGTAATTTTACATTAAAAGAGTATTACCGCAGTTTGGGACCTTCATATCCAGCAAGGCCGTCCTCTTGTTGTTGTCATCCATGCAATACAAATCCTGAGATTCTGTGTAAAACTTTGTCTCTTGAAATTTCTTGATCCACATAATTTCACAGGAACACTTGAATGGATTGTCCGCCAATATCCTATAGCAAAAAAGACCCAGTTAATTTAGGATGCAGAATGTGTCATGCATGTAGAAAAAAAATGGGGGGTAGGGGGACTCCAAGCACTGAGCTGGGTGAAAGTAGAAGCTGCACCCTTTAGTTAAGATGATTAAGGAATGCAATCTTAGCAACCTCAGCGCAATGCAAGCTGCAAATGGATAACGGTTTCCCTGTAGAGAATGAAGCTCTCCTTGCATCAAGAATCCAGACTGTCATAGATCGGAGAGATCGCATAGGGGGCTCGACTACTATCTCCAATTCACCGGTGTAAATCAGGAGCACATCGAGAACCGGCTTTCCATCAAGCTCCATTTTATTTTGTAAGAATCAAGCAGAGATCAGAATTCCTCTCTTCTACACTTGACTCTCTGCTCACGTACCTCAGAAAGATCATGCCAGAAATGATTTACTGCTGTGAGGTAGTAAATTCTTTATAAAGTCAAAGCTCTAACAAACTCTAATCATAAAAAAGGATTTTACCTAACCTTCAAAATTCATCCGCTACAACACTCTAGAAAATCTCAGAGCAAAACCCTAGGAAATGTCACGAAGAAACATCGACTGAAAAAATGGCCTTGAAACAGAAGTATACAGTATGCTGCATGGAATTTAAACCACACGTTAGAGAACTTACCAAATTGTAGTTTCAAAATTTAATAAAACTACACAACAATGTAATGCAATAATGCCTAAATAAAATATGAAGAGAAAGATCCCAATGTCTACATAAGAAGTGACCCAGTGTTCTTTCTTTCTCCTACAGGCATAGATGAGATCCAATAAAGCACATGCAAATGAATGTTTAAGGCATCTCATTACAAGGAGAACAATTGTTCTTAACAAAATTTCACAGGTATTTTTGATGTACAGAAACAAAACTCAAGTTGCTCACAGAATCTATGCTCATAAAAGACTTCTGAGGATGTGAAGTGGGCAAATCATGAAAAACTCATCTTATCAGAGCTGTAACCTGTTCCTCCAAAAGCCATCTGCAGTTCTTTGAGGATTAACTGCTGCAGGGATCATTGTCACAAGTCTCTGAAGGAGCAATTTGTATTCACAGACATTATCTACTGGACTTTAACACCACCACAGCATGGACAAGAATTGCTTGTGCAAGACAGAGTATGAACATTAAGAACCCTTGGGTCAAAATCTACAACATGCATTTTCAAAACAGTCAGATTAACTTTCCATCTTGTTTAATTGTATAACTTCCCTGTAAAAGAGAAATTTCCCTTGACCAGTGGTTGAGCAGTCCTTTTCTTCCACTGTTTTATTTTGTGTTAAACCCATCAAGGGAGTTAGGTACATCATAGGCAGGATGCCAGATACAGGCATGATGGCCCTATATATATACTTGAGTGAAAGAAATTATCTGACTTAGTAAAAAAAAATTACGTGGTTTTATCTTGTTTCCTGCAATTTTACAGCTGCAACTACAGTTTGTTCTAAAAGAAAAAGCCTTTCAAAGCGGTATCTCCTTCTCTACAATACCTGGTGAATATGACCTACTTCACCCTATCCTGAACTTTTCATCCCTTTATGTTTTGATTTACAAGACTGCTAACAACAGGACACTTGTTTGTCAGATTTAGAGGAAGCTCCTAAGAAGCTATTTATGGCATTATTCTCCTCTCATATTCCCCTTCCAATACTCTCCTTTCTCTCCTCTTTCTGATTTTCCACCTCTGTATTAGCCACTTAACAGAACTGTTCAACTGATACTAATTTTATAACTGTTTCTCCTCCCTTCAGGCTCTGCTTTTTTCCCCCAACTTTCTTTTTACTCTCTTCCCCCAGGTCTGTTTATCTCAATTCATCACTATCTCTGTACAACTTTAGTTCTTCTGTCCCCACACTCCAACTCATTGCCAAGCCCACAACACTCTACCTCAATTTTGTATCCCCTCTTTCTCTCAACTTGTCCCTCATCATACATTGCCTCCATATTTCAAATACTACTCAGTTTAACCTTCACACCATCCATTTTTCCCATGTCTGCCTCACTCCTAGTACTCTTCCCCTGCTTCTACTACCATGACACTGAATGGCCATCGTTTAACTCTACTATTAATAGCACAAATATATTCACTCCTAATTCACATCAGCCAGTTGTTTTGCCTCTAAGTGCTATTTCCCCACCTCACTAAACTTCATTTCCATAATTCCTGCCACATATTTGTAACATTCAATTCTCCCACTCTCTGTCCCAAATCCTTTTTTACTTATTTCTGCCCAGGAGCAAACTAACTTCTTCAGAAAGGTCAGCAACATTGACATTGTTCTCCTTCAAAATCTTTATAAGCACTCAGTTCACCTACTGCCTAAAAGAAGCTGTTCACCTGAGATGAGGAGATTGAAGAGTGGCTTGACTTGTGCTTTGGAATAAACCTGTTACTGGCAGCAGACAAAACTCCAAGAAACTGGGAACGGAGAACAGAGTATGCCTTCAAAACTGCAGTCATTTCCTTTTTTGCTTGCTTCCTAAGCTAGAGCATACCCACTCTTCTATTTCTGCAACCTGGGGAGAGGGGCGAAGATGACCCCATTTCTCCACTAACTGCTTAGAAAAACTAGGAGAAGCCCAAGCTTCACCCTGTGCACTGTTCCGAGTCCTTTATGTATTTCTTTGAGGTCATGACAACTACAAAACATAGAACCTACAGCCAAGTACACACTAACACTGGCTTTTCGGCAGGGACTAGATACAGCATACGAAGAAACAGGGACTTCAGAACCAACAGACCTATGCAGGGCATACAGCAATGCCAGTGCTCTGCAGCCAGCTCATCACAGTCCTCTGCAACTGCCAAGTTACGAAAGAAAATTCCAGTGAGCAATGTTCCCTGGGTTGTAAAAAAAGTGATGATACCAACTTAACTATTGACAAAACATACATAAGGGGCATAGCCTCTTTTTGTGGCACTGGGATTTGCTCATTTCATTTCTCACAGGCTGAAGTTCATCAGAAGAGGTTGAGGATTGCAAAGCTCATGTTGCAATACTTGGACTGGCATTTTGGACAACTTCTGACTCTGCCCTGAGCTCCGGGAGAGCAACCTCCCTGTCCTCTGCAGCCTCAACCCGCCCAAAGCTCCTGCAGGCTCTCCGCAGTCCCACATATTAGAAAAGAATGTACAAGATGACTAAAATTTTGTAATATATATCAATACAGAAATTCTGCTTGATGGAACAGAGGATAAAAATGTAGTATTGAAACAATCAACCAACCTATGTTTACCAGTGCTTCCTTACCAAATGATTATATAAAGCACAGTGCAACCCAAAGAATTTGTGAAAAGAAAAATGTTCTTCAATAGCCAACCATAAGCATAGCAGCTGTGGAGTCAATATAAGAATATTAGAGAGAGACTTCATTTGAAGATCTGTAAAAGACTGTATTTTCACTAGCTCAGATATTTAACGCAAAGACCAATAGTTTTGTACGAAGTAATCTCACAATAAAATATTTTAAAGCTGAAGAGAAGAGGCTATTTTGACCTCCAGATTGCTTTAAAAGATACACTTGACTTTCTCGAAGACTTAGAATGAAAATCTCTCTGTATTTAAGTGTCCAGCATTACTGTTTTCTTTGGATCAGAATTTCATTCCTAATCATTGATGGACTTCTACCTTCAACAGAACAAACTTCAGTCTTGTTCTTCCATTCCAACCAAAAATAAACCTTATTTTAAGAAATGACAACTTACAGATCAGACAAACCCAGATGGCGAAAAGGCTTCTTGGACAAACTTGAGAGCTTGTTTCTGGATAAATTGCTACAGGAAAAGAGAAAGATTGCATTAATTAGAATTGCTGCTTCTTACATGGAAAATAGTTTGTGGCTCTTAAAAAAAAAAAAAAAAGAACTCAGACCAGCTCTAAAAAGCCCTTATTCCTTTGACGTCAGTTGTAAAGAAATGGTGCAGTCTTGTTTTATGGTTTGATGGGTTTCAAGGATTTGAATCCAGTCTGCATCTAAAGTCAAATACTTTCAAAATCAAACTCAGCAGGGATCAATATTTTCACTTTTAGCACTTCTGCTCATTGCAGAAAAGCAGTAGATTTAATTGTGTTTCAAAAGTATTTTGTAAAGTCCAGGTGTTAATTATATGCTCGATTTATTCATAAGTGAAATGGGTGTATCCCTTTCTTTGATCCTGCACCAAACTCTGTACTCAGATATGCCCTCCTCACATGCTAGCACACATCCACATCAGAGCCTTTTAGTTATTCTTTTCAAATTGCATGTACAATATGCACCCACATGGAAGATCAAAAGGAAAACTGTAAAATGCCTATATTGGGCTTTTTTATGTCAATTAAGCATTTACGGTTTCGAATGGCAATTAAGTGAAAGGTCCTCTCCCATTATGCAAAGAAATGTTCATCTGAATCAGAAATACTCCTCCCCTCCCAGGCTTACAAAATTGCTTTCTCCACCCCAAAGCAAAATAATACCAAAAAATTAAAGATAGTGAGAGCAGTAAACTGTATAACTGCCAGCAGTACAGTTCAAATGAGTGTTATGAGCCAAAACACCACGAGTTTTATGCGGTATTATAAAGGCACCATAGGGCCTCCATAGTTAAAGTTGCATCGCATTTAAAAAGAGGGATTAAACAACTTCTTTTTTTCCCTGACTAAAGAGCACTGCATTTACTTTCCAAACTTTCAGTCCTTGATCTCTGAGTACAAAATAATTTTCAGAGAAATTACAAGTTGGATCTTCTACAGATGTTTAGAACAGAATATTTAAGAAATTTTATTTACTATTTTATTTTTATTTCCTCGTTGATTTCTTCTAGCAAACAACAGCCTGAAGTTTTTACAAAGTGACTAGTCCTAATGTGTGAGAACAAAACAGGTGAGCTACTACTTCACTAGTCAGGTGAACTGGACTGCCCTATGGCAGAGGCTGGTGGAAACGTCTCATAGACCCTGATCGGATATATCAAAATTAAAGTACAATTTGCATATAGGACAGAAGTCATGTTTAATTAAAAATTGCCACTATGATTTTTTTCGTAAATGTGTAAGCCATATGTTGAGAGGTTGAAAGAAAGAAGTTGAACCGTCCTATGGACTTGGGCTTTTGTCTCCAACACTGAGGCAATGTGAAGCACATCAAACCCCACCCCTCCACGGGCAATCCTTCGCTCACCATGCAGGAGAATCTAGTTCTCAACACCGCCGAGCATCACAAGTGGATGCTCCGGTGCCATTTCCAAATGAGACATGCACCTGTTTCTCTTACCTCCACAGCAACTAAACCCTGCCTTTCCCCAAAGACAACCAGATACATAATGGGCTCCACCTGCAGACAGGTTCCCATGCTACTCACTACTCTATTGGGAGGCAACATATTCCAGGTCATGTGATGACCAGGTTTGACTCCTGATTTCCACACAGCAGAGGACCCTGCTCTTCCATATCAGGAGGACTCCCTAAGCATCAGACAATAGGTTCCTCAGGGAAATCTCTGTCCAGCTGAATCCATTTCATTTTGCGTGATCTTTCCTGGCATCCTAACGGGAGAGCCAGGCTCAAACTCTGATTCCAGACCAAGGCAAATCAAAGAGGATCTGAAATTCTCTACCACCAACATGTTCTAAACACTGATGTATCACAATGCAAATCTGAAAATGGGCCACAACAATCTTACATAAGAGCCCCAGCCATCCTCTTGAGACAGTACTTCTCTCCTTTTTCTTTTAAGAAAATAACACCTTAAAAATAAATTTTTCAAGAATATCTTAAAAACATTAAGGACTGACTCTAGGAGAGGGTTTGCTGTTAGTAACCTAGCATGAACACGAACAGCTCACCTACTTCATGGGCAGGACTGAAGTCCCATCTTTCCTAAAGGCTTCCTCCTGGCTGCTTACATGTTTCCTTGCTCAACTTACTCCTGGTCGTCTAACTCACGCCATTTCTTCATGAGGTGCTGAGGTGCCTGCTTCAGAGCTATTAACTCAAGTAGACAGCAGACTGTAAGAATTAGGTGCTGCCATAGCTGTATCTTCTTGTCGTTTAGCCTCAGGCCAGCCATTGCTTTTGGAGGGTTATTGCAAACCTACAGGCAGAAGAATAGCCCTTACTTGTTTAGATTAATGAGCCAGATTTACCGCTCAAATGCCATCAGGTATGTTATTTTCTGAACATTTTGTGCAGGTTTCAATGACTCCATGTCAGCCAGGGAAAAAATGGGACTGATAATTTAAGTAAAACTACCAAAAGAATAAATAGTCATTATTTTAACAACTCTAGTTTTGAAAAACGAAAAGCACCTTGATAGCTTTAATTGTCTTCTTGGATTTTCAACAGTTATGCTTGTAACGCAGCAGGAAAGGGAAGCAAGAAAGTAAAAGTAATTAAAAATTCCTGTGCCTGTATTCTTTCTTCATCACGGGTAGAAACGTTTAGCGCTTCCAAAACTGTAGCCTTTTCTCTCATGTAGTTTAGTGCTTTAAGGTTTTTCAAGTTGACAAGTAATTCAATAGAAATTTTTCAGACCAGTGTTACAGATTTATCACCTTAAACAATACTTTGACAGTAAATTTAATGTTATATATATATTTTTCATAAACTGAGCACTTTATATTGATTACAGAGATGCCTGCCGCAGCCTCTTTAATTCATGTTAAGTGAAAAAATCACCACCAGGCTTATTATGGAGTAGTTAAGGACCACACTTCTACTTCCATGGAAAGAGAAAAAGAGAATATAAATTAGTTCCCCAATTCAACTACACATAAAAAGATCATGGTGAGCGGCCCAAAGAAGATCCATCTGGCGTTCTAAGGCTTTTTTTTCTGAAAAAAAAAATCTGGAATATAGAGCCTGGTTCCAAAGTTACACCTAAGGAGAGGACCCAAATTCAGTCAAAAGCGTGCCCGTATTTTACACACAAATATCAAGCTCGTTTTAAACTTGCTAGCCCTAATTCAGCTAAAAGCAAACCTGTGGCAATGTGAGGAGTGCACAAGCAGCCTGAGAAGTCGCATAAATATTCACAGAGCTAGCAACACAGGCACAGCTCCACCGCCCATAGCGCTCCTGGCAAGGGGAGACAAGAAGGAAGAGGAGGGAACAGATCTGAGGAGAAGTGGGAGGAAGGAGTGAAGAAATGGCCATTTTGCTACGCTCAGTCTCCCTCCACAGGCAACTGCCTGCTCTGCCTATGGCTGGAGCCAGCTCTGTGTGCAAGCAAGGGAAAATCTGCAGCAAGGTCTCAACTGGCTTCATTTGGCTGCCTTGCCTAAACCTGAACAGTGTAGAGATACAAACATATCTTAATACCTAGAGCTGTACATACACTACACTCACAAATCTATGATTCAGCGGTGCAATTATACACAGCCTGGCACGTAACAACAGCTATTTTTTAACATTTTTCAAAATACGCACTTGCTGTGAAATGTATTTTTATGTTTAAAGGTACTGATAGCATACCATGCATGAGTATTACACAGGTCTGCTAAAATTACCATTAGCAGCAGATCAGCTTAAAAATTACAGCACTGCTAGACCAGGACTGTTGAATACCTTGTTAAATGCAACTGTTGACTAATTTGAGCGCAAGGTCAATGGGAATACCAGAATTAGATGAGCAAGGCTATTAACAACACTTAAGTAATATCTATTAAAGCATTTATTTTCCTGTTTATGTTACTACTCAAATCTTCTCATCATTCATAACTCTAGAAAGACATTGGGGCTACAGAAGTTTGGCCAAGAAAATAAAGTAATGACAAAAAGGAGCTTAAGGAAATGTGTGTTAATAAGTTCCTTATAATCTGATATTCTTATCCGATTCATAAAATTAATACTATCTTCATATAATAAAGCTAACTACATCAAAAGACTTTTCATAGAAGAAAAAGAAAACTGTTATAGTATCACTAGCAAAATCAAAGCTTATACAGTTACATCAGTCTTCAGAAAAGTGTTTGGAGTTCTTATTTTCTTTACGGGACAGTAAAAAACTGTTGTTTCAAAATAAAATGCAAGACTTCCCAAAGACCTCTACTGGGAGGTTACTCAGGTAAAGTGAAATGATTTCAGCTCTTAATAGTTTTCACTATTGGTGTCCCTATCACAACAGAGGCTGCACATCATTCCCAGTGCAGTCAACAGGAGTTTTATTGCTGATGACAACAAGCAGCGATTCACTGATGCTTTCAGAAACATTTTAGTGTGCATCAAGATTTGCCAGAGAAAACAAACAAATGCATTTTTTTCAGTGATAATAGATCAGCCTCAGCAGAAAATGCCTCCATACTTACTGCTTTGTCATGTGCATTCAGAGCAGGTGGTGCCACCTAATATTTTCCATCTTATCTGGGCTTATCCTATGCTTGCTAACCTTACTAAATCCTCACCAAAAGAAAACACAGTATGAGACTGGATAAGCTCCTGGTTCATAACATAAGTATTCTGGGTCACGACTCCATGTACATCAACCAAACAGATGTCAGTCAGCCTAAATTGTTTCTAACAAGCAGCTTCATGAACTACAGATCTAGTAAAGCCTGCTTACCAACAGATACGTATTCTGTGTTTGACTGTGTACTCCAGCTGAAGCTCTTCCTGTCACTAAAGTATTTTAAAAATATCTTGTCCATGTGGGCTCTGTAGTGCCTAGCAGGTCTAAATGCACAATGACACTTTTCCCTTAAGTGAGAACTCTAACAGGGTCTCCCTGTTCTGTCCAATGGTCAGTTTTCAGAAAATCTGTTTACCTGTATAAGTTTTGGTTAGAAGCAACCACTGGGGACAGAGATACTTTGTGACTGCATGAACCCATTTCCCTAAGGAAACACGCAAAAGAGCCTATCAAGAGGATCCCATCAATTGTCTCAGTTACCTTTTGCAGTGTCTGCTTGCCCATACAGCTGGGAAGGTCTTCCAAACACCTATTTAGCTCACTCCAAATTAAACTTGTTATTTCTCACTCTATAATCATGGTCCTGGAGAGAACCGATTGCTCTCCTCATCATAATTGCTCTTCTTTTGAAGATAAGGAAACATATGTTCCTTTTCAGTCTTCTCTTTATTGGACTGAACATACTCAGCCTCTTAAGTCTCCTCAAATTATTTGCTTTACAAGCTCCTTATAGCTCTGTCGCTCTTCCCTGTAGTATCTTTCAAGATGGGTAGATTCAGTGTCCTAATCTATATGCAGTGTTCCAACAAATGCCTCCCCAGCAGCTAAGGTAACCAGGAAAACATACGAAAATCTAACACAAAATTCTTTTTGATCCCAGACTAAATTTGCTTTGTTCTGCCGCATTACGCTGAGATTCTGTCCCGGCATAGCCACTAAATCTTTCTCTGTAAATGTGCCTCTCAGCCCGTCAGTTCTTACTGCGCATTTCCACAGCCAGTGCATATGCATTTGGCTTTATGGAATTTCATCTTTAACAACCATAATTCACAGAGCAGTTGTTACACAGGTAAACACACAAATTCACTCTAGAAGATACTACCCTTATATCACCAACTGACTATAGTAAAAGCTGTTTACTTTATTAATGACCATATGAAGTAACAGGTAAGCCTCACAGACTGACAGTATCTGGTTCACACTCCTCCAGTGACTGTTCTACATCAAGGACAACTGTTACTGTTTAGGCTGATATAGGCATTCACGTCCACTTCCTCACGTGGATTTATTGCTCATCTTTGGAAAATACGGGTGCAGAAAATGATTCCATTTCATTAGCAAAGTAATCAGCCCTGTGCTCTGTTCAACAGTTCTTCTCTATTACAAGCAAGTATCTTACAAGCCTGAGGCTTGGCCTTATGCCTTCCCAATCTCATTAGGACTTCAACAGAAGTAAGGGGTTAAGTGAAGTGCTAAATATATCTAACAAAGATGGATGGACTGAAACACAGACTTGAATACTTGGCTAAAACAGGGTGCCTGTGAGGAACTGAGCCCCTCACATGATCTCAAAGTCTTGTAGGACTAGATCCATAGTTTTCCATGTAAGTAGAAAACCAAGCTACTCCATGTCTGTCCCACTAAAAGGCACTACAGTCCCTCAGGGAGATGTACTTATACTAAAAAGAAACAAAGTCTTTTATTTTAGCTGATCATTTTTCCCTGTACTTTTAGGAAGAACTTTCATCAGTTCAGCCTTTGCCTAATCTGAAGTGTAAATAATCTAGAAAAACACAGTCAAGAACCTCCACAGGCACCAACTCGGCTTCCTGAAGTTCATGAACCACAAATTGCATTTGGGTGTGAAAGTAACCTCATTCGCATATTCTGCTTTGGGTGCATTAGTTCAGATCCTGAGTGAGCTTCTGAAGTGAATCTTCTGATCATCTCCAGTCACATCACAGTCTCCAGGCACGCACACTAGTCAAATTACATTACATGTGCTCCATGCATGCACGTACTGCACCACAGCTGCTAAAACATGTTCAGCCCAATGAACCAGGCTAGAGCTCGTCAAACCCATGTCGCTGAGTGCGATGCATAGTATGGACATCATACCCTTGGTACCAACTCACTCAGCTGAGAGAGGCACTCTTTGTACTACACTACTTACCAGAAAAGACATGACCAGAGTCCATTTTTAGAGACTGGATAATAAACTGGACAGTCTTTTTACCATCCTACATTATGTTCTTGCAATCTGCCAGTTCCTTACCATACATGTCCTATATTCTGCCAGTTCCTTACCATACATATCTTATTTAGGGTCAATTAATGACAGAAGACCATTATAAGTCTGTCTTGTTATAACATTTTTTATGAAGGAAATGATAAAAGAGAGAAATAAATTAACAATTAAATAAATTAACATGAGTTAAGGACTTAGAAGGCAGATACTATTCTTACTCACATGTATTGTAGATTGACATTTTTCACAAATGCCTGACGGGACACGAATCTTAAGCCTGAATCCACCACGGTCCTGTGAAAATACAAAGAATTGTTAGAATATTTCATTTAAAATATAAAGGAAAGCATAATGATAATAACAGTTAAAATAACAGTATGGATGAGATCTCAACAAGGCTGAACTGCAAGATCTACGACTGTCCTCTATAACACACAAAGTTAGGCCTACACTCTGATGAGGTGGCTATATCCCTGTACGTAAGAAAAAAAAAAAAAAAAGAAAAAATAGCTTTATAAAATATACATCCCATATACTCACAGATTTTTAAGTCCAACATAAAATCCCACTTCGTTGTCATTGATACTTTCTAATTTTCGCTGGTTTGCAATGTAACTGTTGAAAAAGCAAGACAGAAAAAAGTATGAAACTGGATCCTTCCTAGGCTTTGATCGCTCAAGATCAACACTGATGTCTAAAAGACAGCAGTGACTACTGACCTATTGCAATTAACACTAAGATCTAGTTAGAGCATCTGCAGAGCGAAAGTGCTCCTTAAAATCTTCCCCATCATTTAAATGGTACTTTGTGGGACAAGGCTGGAGGAGAAACAGATGTTTCACACAGGGGAAATGAAGCCTTGTTCATCAAGGAAGCAAGTCACCCGGAAGGCACAGTAAATAAAGCCGCATTACAGTGTCACCATTTTCCAGGACACACTTCCCTATGTCAAGGATTTCACAACAGCAAAAGGGCCAGCTTTAATGGTGGTAGTGGAGTTACAGGATTGCCCACGTCTTTTCTCGCATGTTGTTAACTTAAACACTTGTTAAACTGATCTTCACCCTGCCACAAAGTAGTTTCAGTTCTATTTTCCTGGCAACAGGAAAACTAAGGAAAAGGAGGTTGCACTTCATGATGTTACGTACACAAGCAGAAATTAAGAGAAGAGAAACTGTCATAGTAGACCAAAGCACTGAGTCCACTCACGTACCATGAATATCTGCCTGAACCCCAAAAGGGTGTGGGCATGTAAGCTGGTCCTTTGTATTATCATCATGTGAGATCTATGAATAACCAGTGACATCCCACAGACTGAAAATTAAAATGTTTTACAGATAATGCATGGGATGATATATAATCTGTTACTTCTTCTGCAGCAAGAAAAAAAGTTTCATAGTGCAAATCATGCAGTCTAGGAAGAAGACATCAGTGGAAACTCCAGTTCAAGTGACACTACAGGCAGAAAAGTAAGCCAGATGTAAGAGATGCCTCGCTAAAGAGTCCATGCATTTCAAAAACGGTCCCAGTCCCAGAAAAACTTAAACACAGATTGACCTGTATTTTCATGAGCATCCAGAATTAACCAAAGCTGCAGGTTTTCCTAAAAAGAAGGGGTCTATCTTTGCTAGAATAAAAACTGCCTTCATTTTAAGCATTTTTTTATTATTATTTAAAGGGAATTCTAGTGAACTGGAAAGAAAGTGTATTACTTTCCAAAAGGCAACCCACCTACCTCAGCTGGTGTGTTAGAGAAATTCACTGTGTGCCCACATCCCAACAAAAGTTTGAGAATCCCAAAAGTTGGGCTGGGCTCTCCTCCAAAGCCTCAAAGCTGACTTGGGCTATGCTCTCGCGAAGTACTAGGAAAGGCAAAAAGTTTCCCCTAATGGGATTCTTTGGCCCTTGGGAAAAAGAAGGGCAGTAAAAAGACAATGCATGACGCTAGACAAAACACATTACTACACCATCATATGACACTGACTGCTCTGCAGGACTTCTTAGGATAACATTAACATGGTGTACCCATTACAAGACTATAACAGTGTCCTTCGTATTTTGTCTTTCCTTCCTTGGATTTCTTAAGGCAATCTGATGGGATTTATTAACGTATTTTCTTGTTCGTTGGTTGGTAAATTTACGTATTTTGCCAAGTAAAAGCAACAAATTATTTTATAAAAGACTGTCAATTCTTCCATCTCAGAGTCCTGCAAGTTGATAACCATACTTCCTCTGTACCTTCCCTGAAGAAGAACTCATGATTTCACTAAGTATCACCTTCTCTGTCACTTGGACCTCATCATGCTAAAATAAAGTTACGCAAGATATATCAAAGATACCTTCCTCATCCTGGCCTCAGTGTTTAACCAGTGAGAATACTGTCAAGCCCAGGCAGAGATAGGGAAAACACAGAAGAGCGGGAACTGAGGAAAATGGGCAGAGAAACACAGAGGGAAAAGAGACTCAGAAGAGTAAATAAAAGAAACTGAGCAGCCAGCTGTACTAGCTGAAGATTAAGCCATCAAAAAAACCTCTGACAAACACTGCCAGAATGCAGAACCATCACTTAAACGCAGTTATCACGCATCCAAACCTGACAGTGCAATTTTAATCATAAAAACATTTAACCAGAACCTCCCACTATGAGAAGCTCCAGAACTTGACATAACTTATAGTGTTGCACAGAAATATATTAGTGTATTACACCCTGTGGTAAGCCTCAGCCACGGTAAAACAGCTCAGCTCTGCTGAAGTCAATGAGCCTACCACAATCTACATCAGACGAAGCTCTGAGTATGAGCACACAATCTATATAAAAAGATCAGTGTTGGTCCATTAGGGAACAAATCAAAAGGATGATATTTGGGAAGAAGAAGTGACATGAATTTATGACCTTTTCTTACTTTGTCTTATTGCAGCCCTTAGAAGAAAAGTGAAGGGGGCTATTCTTTACTCTGAGCTGGTACTAGTTTCTTTATGGTGAATGATTTATGATTCCAGTTCCTAACTGAAAGAACAAAAAGAAACCATAGATTTTCCATAACCATACTTCAAGTAGGGACCAAGAAGAAATTCTGACTAAGCGCAACTAACTCAAAATAACTGCTGTGCAATATGTTTGTAAAAACATTGTCAGTACAGAACATGACAGTAAACCAAATTTCATGCAGTCGGAAATCCTTGAAGAAAGAGTGGACAGATGCAATTTACCATAAGCAGGTCACATCCTCTTATGCTCCCTTACTTGCTTAACAAGTCTGTTTAGAGTTAAGCCTTTGCAGCTACTTCACAGCAGTGAGAAAGAAAGGAGTATGACGAAGTAGCTGCACACTGTAAGGGGAAGTTGTTCTTCTGTTTAATTTAGAGGGAGGTTTGAAATCAAACCTCTCCCTAACTGAAGTCTATTTTTACCTTCTTCACGACTACTCTACCTTGATGTTACTTATCATCAAACATTAATACTCTAAAAGCTCTGACTTGCAGCGGGCAACACTGAGAAATGTAGTTTGCCTGCCTGCCCTTAAGAATATCCACCCTGTTCTTTAACTGAACATTTTTACTGTAGCACAGAAGAAAAACATCCTGACTCACGGCTGGCTGAAGTCACGTGAGGAGCCTGGAAGCTCCCACTGCACACCACAGCAAAGCACAGCACCGCCAAAACCTGGCGGGATGGTACCCTGTCGGATCACACATATCAGCTCACAAACACCGATCGCTGCCTCTAAACCAAACCCTCAGCTGCCTACAATACTATTTGTTTGATTATACTATAGCATTCTGCCTCTCCTTCAATGAGTCATCAGTAAACAATACTTATTTTCAGACCTTTAATTTCACCTCCTCTTTGTAAACTACTGATTAATTCTAATAACGGCATTCAGAATCACACACCTACCGACTGCACATTGCAACCTACAATAACACGTTTGTCTTGGCACACTTCAGCAGCTATTGAATAATGTCACACACTCATACTTCACCACTTCTGCAGCATTCTGGAAGGGATATTTTGAAACCTATTGTAAAAGAGTTAACTCCTCCAAATAAGTTTTGCTTTAAGAGGGTAGTCTTCACTTCTGCTCATTACACATGTGAAAGACTACGGACACAGTCTGTATAACATCAGTGAAGCAACCTCTGAACTGTAAAAGCATGAGGAGAAAGCAGATTCTGCTCTTTAAAGCAATCTAGATTACTTTGTGCCTCAATAGCTCAAAAAAGGATTTCACTCTACCTTCCAACATTTTCCTTAACCCAAAAAAACTGGTCAGTAGAAGTATGTTTTCCTAACTTACTTGATTTACTCTATTTCCTCTGGATTAATGTATGTCAAGGTATACTACTCCATTTGGACTTATAAGGACATGCTGGAAAACTAGCACACGCTAGCCTTAACAACATAAATGCAAGCAAATAACAGCTCCAGAAGTATTTCTGTTGCCAGAAAACTCCCTTTATGGGAAACATATTTTCTTAACACTCCAAAAAATAAATCAATTATATGTCTAGCTCTGGTTCATACAGCTGGGAAAAAAGTTTTCAAAATTAATAAACATTCCCTGGTGAAATATTTCTGAACTTTGGGAAAACTTTATACTCAGATTTATTTTTTCACTAAATCTTTAGGGAAAAAGGCTGCACACTCCAGACATCGAACTGTCAGTACATGAATTACCATTTAATGACAGGTCACGTATGTCCCTAGTCTACACTACTGTGAGAGCTGTATGGTAATACAGACAACTAAACACTGCAAATTTCCGTTGTGCTGTATTTTCTTACAAACTGAAATGTCAGACCAAGTTCATCAAAAGGTATGCTAAAACTTAGGGACATTTTCAACACACCTGGGCTGATTTACGGTTATGCATCAAAATCGTGCAAAACGTATAAGCTTGACACAATACTTGATGAAACCTGGCAGATTCAAATGGGTTTCATTTGCAGTCCCTCTGAAACTAAATTTAACATAATGCTGGAGGGGTGTTAAGTCATGTAGTTTGAAAATGACACATAGAGCTACACAATGCTGCATATCAGGAACGCCAGGTTTCAGACAGATGTAGGGACCAATGATACAATCTCTGCTCAACCAAGAAATCTTTCTACACAGGTCCAAGCTCCCCCTAGGAAGGGAACCCTTAACAGCAAGCAACGATATAGACACCTACAAGTGACAAGTTCTCTGCAGATATTCAGTCTTACTCCGATTATTTTATTCTATTTTGCTCTCTCCATCTGGTACCATCAGTGCCAGATTTCATGAGGCCAGCCTCAGAAAACAGAAATTCTACTGCTAGAAGAGGATACCGTAACTCGGGAACGAGGCAGTGTGTCGAGTTAGTCCACTGTGGACCTACCTAGCATTCAGCAATTTCACAAACAGGTGCTCAACTCCTCAGCTGTCTGGTGTCTCCTAACAAATTCCCTTAAAGTGCTGCGGTAGTTTGTTGTTTTTTTTTTAACTGTGAATCACTCCGTATTTCACAAGGAGTGAAAAACTGATTGCCACTATCACAGGCTCCTTAAGTCATCCTTTAGGGTTTTTTTTCCTCCCATTTGGAGTATTTAACCATGAGTCACAGAAGACTACAGGAGGTAGGTC